GGAGCGGGCCTAGCTCAGCTATGTACAGGGTGCTCAGAGGCAGGATCTGACCCAGTCAGAGGGCACATGGCCCCAGCGTGTGGTGCCCGGACCCCAGATGACAGCAAGAGCGACAAGGTCCTGCCTGAAGGCACATGCCCCCAGGCTGGGTCTGGTCCATGCCATGTGCCACAGGTGGCACCAGGTCCCAGGTGGCTAAGGCCATGCCGTGCTGTGGGGGTGCTCTTCCAGTAGTGGACCCTGAGCACCCTCATGGCTGCTGCTGCTGTGGACAGGGGGGTGGGGGGACTGTGACCATGTGGGGGGGCAGTCAACCCCCCCCCCCATCCCTACTTACCTTTGGGAAAAAACTCAATATCTTTATGCTTCATTATTTTTTGTGGCCAAAACTACTAGGAAAAACTTGCTTACTGTTGAAGCAGTGAGGCAGTGGACTAGATTGCCCAGGGAAGTGGTGAAATCTCCTTCACTGGGGGTTTTCAAGAGGAAGCTGGAAAAGCATTAATAATAGATGATTCAGGAGTAGCAGCCCTACATTCATACAGAGGGATGGATGGCTTTTGAGGTCTCTTCCAGCCCTATGATTCTATGATTTTCTGTTGATTTTGTTTTTCAGAAATTGTTAACTGAGTGATTGATGGTTTTCACTTTTTAATGAAAGTTAAGTTACCTGACAACAGTTAACCAACATAGAAATTTCCTTTTACATGACAGCAAAAAGGGATGTTTTGAATGACATTTTTCAAGCTGCTTTAGTTTCAGATTTCAGAAATATTTCAGCTTTAGAGCAAGCTATACGTGAACAGTTATTTTTTAAATACCAACATTGGTTGGTGCAACCATACCTGCATTCCTGTTTATTTGATTATTTATAAACATGTGTGAAAAACAATTCTTGAAAAATAATTGTTTCAGAAATAGCAGTCCTTCATAGGAATCCTTGTACTGACATCTGGCACAGTTCGGCAGACTACCATAGGGGCACAGGGATTTGAATCACGTTGTAGGTAGGGATCTCTGGAATTTGCGTGGGAAGTGTGTGGCATGGGTGCTTCTTTAATTTTGCAGTTTCCCCCTTAGACCCCCCCTGCACTGATTGGTGGAGGGGCTCCATCACTCACCCCCTGTGCCTGATGGTAGGGAGGCAAAAATGGCAGCATATTTCAAACTGCAATCTTCGCCACCCCGCCATCAGGCATAGGTGGCAAGCGGCAAGCAATAGGGCCCCTCTGCCAATCAGCGATTGTGGGACATGCAGGGAAACTCCAAGATTAAAGAAGCCGCCATGCCACACACTTCTGGCACTCATTCCGGAGATCCTACTTGTAGGATTAGGGTTGCAGTAGGTAAAAGATCAGTCTGCTGTTAAAGAATTCGCAACTAGAAAAAATCCAACTTCTGAAACAAGTTATTAGTAGTTACTGTTTGGACCAAACCTAGTAAGACTGTGGGTTTATTCATTCTTATTTTTATCTGTTGAAGTGTGTGAGCGGCTCTTGCAAGTATGTGCGTTGGGGTATACTGTGGACGACTTGTTTTGAGTCTAAGGTGATGACTTGCTGTTTATGAGAAGGCAGCATGTAATCTCTCTAGGATTGTAGAAACTGGAAAAACAAATGTTAAAGGTTCCTCAGGTCAGCTGCACCTTTTGAAAGGGATGTTTGTGCATCTGCTTGTTTTAGGGATTTTTCTTCCCTTCAAGAGAAAAATATGTGCTGGCGGCTCACTTTGGCAATTTCTCTTCCTTATAGTTTGATCCTTCTTCATATTTGTGACTGGCCTCTAGCTTCTCTATACGTAACCTGAAAACACCCTAGTACATCTGATGTCCACATTAATGTGTTCTAGACAAGTCCTTGTATAAAAATGTAGATGTTCTTTCCATTTCTAAAGCTGTTTTTGCCCACAGCTCCAAATCACCTTGCAAACATTAATGAGAGAAAGAAAGTTGTCCAGGTTCTTAGTTTCAGCTGAGAAATGTATGGTGCAATTCCAGAGAAGTCTTGCAAAAACGGCTTTAATCCATGATACTATGCATGGATCATTTCCCTCCCTCCCATCCATGTGTAGAATAGAAAGCAGCAACTGCATTCGGATACAGCTGTTAAATGGAGAAGGTGCACAAGATTTCCATATCTAGTTGTAATGCACTTGCTATTTCAGTGAACAGAAAATAATATATGCACACTATAATGAAGAGAACTGCCATGTGTTGCTTTCTAAATGAAATGTCACCTTGCAAATCTGAGAAAAGTTTGTGTGGGAAAAGTGGTCCCAGAAAAGGATATTTTTATGTTTTGTTAGAAACACTGTTAAAAGTGTGAATGTTAATTTTGTAATTAATATAATGAATTCATGTGAGACCTAAAACTAGGTCATTCAAACCATTTATGAAATTGTCTCCAAGTTGTCACAAGTGAGCTGGCCCACAGTAAGGTGGGGACAGTATACAAGGGTTGTGTGACAGAGAGCATGTTATTAGAAACCAGCCTTCTGCCTGTGGTTATTTGAGGAAGCAGCCGGGAAACAGACGGAGCTTGTAGGAAGAGAGACCTGCAAGGAGCAGGAGTACGTTAAGAGGAATATTTCAGCTAAGAGCTCTGCATGAAGGGTTTGCACTATGTAGGAAGCCTGGGAATTAAATCTGTGGTGTTTGCCTCTACGGTAATGAACCAGTTTCCTAGCAAAGTGAGAGAGCATCTATCATAGACGTTTTATTAACTTGGGAAGGGGAAACTAAGGCAGTGACAGGTATGTTTGCACCAGCTTGTTGTGAAAAACTTGAATAATCCCATTCCTACTAATGGAAGCACTTAAATATTACATTTTTAATTTTAAGCATTAACTTAAGCTCTCACTTGAACCAGGACTTACATTTCTATTGTAAAGTGAACATAAACATTTATGTTTGTGCTTTACTTTAGCCACTAGTGTTTCTCATGTGTCCTGAGTTGTGTTGGCATAAGTAAGAAGCAAACCCATTAAAGACTCTTCCATAAGTCTAAGTATGTTCATAAGTCCTTTTGGGACTGGGCTTCAGGACTAAATTATTTGAAAGACGTATGTTAATGCTTAGCCACATCAGTACAAGCCTTTTAAATATATCTGAGGTTAGATGATGTCCCTTGCCTGGTTATGCTACCCTCTGACTTTGAAAATATTACTTATTCCTATGACTTGTTTCAACTTTTGTAATGTTCCAAACTCATTTACAAATTTTACTCTCTGGTTATAAGGAAGAAAGAACCCTCTATACAGTGCTAGCATGTATATCGACCGCAAGGTTAGCAGGACCCTCATTTTTGTCAGCAGTATGTTTGTCAGCATGCAGGTGATAGATCAGATGTAAAGAAAATCACTTCTGTAAAACCAATTTGCTAAGGGGCTTGTAAAATCCATTTTTAAAAAGTTACTGAGGCGAAAAAGTGAAGGACCAGCCAACCAGATATTTTGATCAGCTCTTCAAGGTCAAAAACTGATTACTAATTCATCAAATATCTTACTGAGAAAGCTGTTTGAAGAGCAAACAACTCCGTGCAGATGTTCCACCTAATAACTTTAATACCACAGGAAGATGGGCAGGGTCGGAACAAACAGAATTTTTTACTTACTTTTGGCAATGCTACAGTCATAGGAAATGTGGTCTTCAAAGCACTGGCATCCCCATTCAGTGCACTGTCCATTCCCATTGCAGAAACTAGGACACCTCAGAGCTCTGAGGATTTCTTCCTGGATAGCAGGCATCCCATTTTCTGCATGCAGCAGCCTGCTTCTGTTTTCTAGCACTCTTCTTTCACACTCATTTTCCAAAAATGCTATCATTGCACCTTCCCATGCCCAGTCATCCTTGAGTTGTAAATCTAAAAGGCACATATCAATTGCCTCATCCAGCTGTGTTCCCAGTAAGTCATTACACACCAAGCCAATAGTAGAATTAGCAAGAACCTGCTGACAGATCTCCAAGGCTTTAGTTGAGGTTAGGCCACTGGGAGTAGGCCACACTGCCTGGATTTTTGGCTGACTCCCTTCAAAGTAATCCTCTGGAAAAAAATATGTAAAGCTTTCTGAGTCTGTTTGACTCAGGCTTTGAAATGGATAAAGAGGTGAGTATTCGGAATAGTCTTCTTCCCTTTTTGCTCTCTCTAGCACTTCCTTTGGCTTAGTGGAGTTAACAAAGCTATTGATTTGGGGGGTTTTGAAGGAAACTTTTTGTGCATATTGTTTTAATCTGCCCTCAGGGCTATCTCGCTTTTTGACTGATGTAGGCAGATATCTTGGATCAAAAAACTTGGCCAACAATTTCCCATCACTTCTTAAAGTAGATTCTATTTCTGGGTAAGTGACAAATTCAGATGTAACATCTAGATATGGGATTGCAGAAGTATAATCCACATTATCGTAATGGCAGTGCAGAGATTGAGGGAAAGAATTCTGGAAGGTATTCAGCGTGTTTACCAAGTGCAGGGATGCGGTGGATGCTTTCGGACACCTGCAGTAATTTTTCCTTTTCTCTACTTCAGAAGGTGCTGGAGTCCTGTCAAATAAACTCTTCCCTGGGGGTATTCTGTTTTAAAAAAAGAAGACAAGTCAATGAAGGGGAGGTGAAACTTTCAACAAATGATATATAATATTAACTAAGCTTTCTTGTGTAAACTAAGGAATATATAAGTTCCTCATTCAGTAAAATAGTGAGGAATAAGCTTTAGTTGGTGCAGGGATAGTCTCAGTGGTCTCCAGTCACTATTTCACAACCCTCCCTGAACTGCAGTTCTTAAGTGCTAGGACTAGCAGATGCTGAAGTGCTTTGCTGGATCAGTGCCTAAATTCATTAAATCAGTTTGCAGAATGTTTTTAAGGTGCACGTTTTTTCTGCAAAGGTTATCTTTCTACATAAGTAGATTTAAATAAGGTGTCGGATTCATCCCTGATGTAACATAGCTGGAGCCTGGCAGGTTACACCAAAGATGTATTTTTGGCTCAAAAAGTTCATTTTAAACACTTGCATTTATTTAACATTCCTTGCGCACCATACTATTACATCCTCTCTCTCCTCATTTAGAGCATGATTTTTGCCTTAAAAATGTTATTGCTTTCAAAAGCATTTGTGTATGTGCTTACTTAAGATTTAATAAAATCTAAAGGAGCTTTTATTTTAGCTTTTCTGCTGACACTCACAACAGCATGATCACAACTTGATCATAAATGTGTGGCATCATATTAGATATGATATAAGGTGTCACATAGGCTAAGACTATTTCCTTTTTTAATTTAGTCCACCAGTAGTGAAAGTATTTCAGTTTGAATAAGCAACTATTGAATAAGCAACCATGATTAAAGTTTGCCTCCAGGTCTCATGAGAAAGGGATTTTTAATGGTTTGTTGTTTATACGATAAGAGTACTTGGACCTTTACAGTTATATATGATGGACTTCAGGCCCAGACCTTCCTGGTACTGTGTGTGCAGTCAGACTTGAAAATTCAACAGAAATCAAATTTTCTTGCAGGTTTTTTGTTTGTTTGTTTGTGCCTTTGTTTCCCAAATAAAAATATAGAAATTCAGGAAAATGACAGCGTGTGAGGGGCTGGTTGGCTTATCCAGTTCAGCAAAAGTGGTGCATATGACTGTGGCTACTAATACAATAGTAAAACTTTATTAAAAGTTATTGGAGTGGTAGAGACAGAGGGAACCAGTCTCAGCCTATTCAAGAATGTCCCTTCAGTGTAAGAAATACAAGTGCTTCTCTGGAACTTTTTTCACAATGAGCAGGAACAACAGAATAAAATTTCATTTCACAAAGCAGCTTTCATACTCATTCAATTGTACAAATTAAAGTTACTGAGCAGGATATTGGTACTGGAATGACAACAGGCAAATGCTGCAGCCAGTATGCAGCCCACGTTTGCTCTCAGTCTGTTTAGGACAAATGAAGGTGTTTTCTTGAGTGAGGGACTAATGAAATGACCTCCTGCCCTTTCTGAAAAGTGCAATGGAAACTTTAACTTCCAATAGAGGTACACCAGACACTTGCCCTGTTGCTGAATGGTAGTGTCACCAGGGAGTGAAGCTGCCTCAGAGGAAAGAGTCCCATTATGAGCTAAATTGTAAGGACATCTCAACTAACTAATGCAGTAGAATTAGGTCTGCTTTCTTAGAAATCCTCACAAAAACCATGGATTCCAGGGCAATTATTTTTAGAGCCAGCTGAAAAATGTAATTACCATCTATCAGGAAGTTCTTGTATTTCAATATTTGTTTTCATCCCAGATCAGGACGAGAAGTTGAACTATCAAAACTTTGCTCACAGATTAAAAGTTGAAAAACATGGTGATTCAGAAATGTAAAAAAGTGTGTGTTTTGACAATTTTTCGGTAAAAATACAAAACAAAGTTTTTTGATATTCTCAAATCAAAACATTGTGTCTTGCTTTGGTTTGAAGTCACATTCATCTCTGCATCCACCTGGCAGTAGGTGGGGGTTTTGGTGCCTTGACTAATGCCCCATTCTTCAGCATAGGTACAGCTGCGTATCTCATCTTGAGCCATAATCTCTCCTAATGGCTGAGCCACTTCAGTTGTCCATGGGAGTTCCAGGCCATGATACATTACAGGAGATGTCTGACTGGGAAGAGAGACCCATAGGAGAGAACTGGTGGCATGAAGCATCTGAACCATGACACCCTTGGGATACATAACAGCAGCTCAGGTAGATCCAGACCTGGACAGGTTGGACAAGTGGGCAGAAAACAACAGAATGCAGTTCAACAAGGAGAAATGCAAAGTGCTGCACCTAGGGAGGAAAAATGTCCAGCACAACTACAGCCTAGGGAATGACCTGCTGGGGGGCACGGAAGTGGAAAGGGATCTTGGAGTCCTAGTGGACTCTAAGATGAACATGAGTCAGCAGTGTGACGAAGCCATCAGAAAAGCCAATGGCACTTTATCGTGCATCAGCAGATGCATGA